ATGGTTACTTAAAATGTTTACAACACCAGCTTCACAAATGACTAATTGACAACGTATGCATCTTAAAAAAACATTTGATGTATTTGTGAAATAGTTCAAGACGTACAGTCACTGCTTCATCATGTCTTAATTTTCTCAGCGATTTTGCAAAATGACGAATTAAGTAACTGCATCTTGTAATAATTCGAAAGAAATATCGTAAAGGGTATTATTGAAATGGAGATTATAATATTTCGCAACTTTTTCACGTAGCCTACTAGTTTAGTTAGATATTCTTTAACGGAAACTACATAACTGATAAAATGAATATGTTAAATTTAATATCTGTGCATTTTCAAATCCGTTCCCATCTGTAGTAATTTTACAGTCACTGGCGTAAGACTGTTATTGCGTTCTAATTGGTGGATTGGTGTTCATCTTGCATTTAACTATTTGTACATTTTCTCATTGGTTGTTTTACATAAATTTAATATTTTATTTAATGTCGACATTTCTCAACATATCTGCTAGATGACATACTTATTGCAAACTTAGGTGATTCTTAACATTTATTATCATCATACCGTTAACAATAAGTTTGTTTTAAAAAATAAAAACTGAAAAAAACGATGGGTTCAATGTTTCCCTGTCTGTAAAATAACTTGCTTGTTATTATAGGCATATCATTCATCTCAGGTTATCAATGTAAACAATCTTTTTATTTGGTCTGTTTCTTTGAGACTTTGAGACGAAATGGCACCTCACAATGACGACTTTGTCTGGAATGGCTTTACACTGTACAGCTACCTGCAAAACTGTCTCAGTACCGAGGGCGCTCTACAAGCGAGGGTTTTATCCACCCCACCTCGCCTCGGAAAAAGTGTTTTCGGAAGAGTAACAAATGACAACAATAAGCTTTCCGGGATAGTAGTATAACCGAAAGTAATCGAAAAGTGGAATAACACGTGATCGCATCGGTAAATCACAATGCAAACGAAATTCGTGCAGAATCTATAGCATTTGTTTGAAAACACACACTGTTGAACTTTATGTTTGAGAATGTCTAAATCATGTAAACACACTTTTTACCCAAAGATTTCGTCTTCCACCATTATTACCGCATGTGAATGTGACGTCCCATTGTGACGTCAAATAGAAATCAAACAAAAAGCGGAGAACCTTCTACAAAAATCTAATAGATTGGTCATTGAGCTCTTTTATAACCAACTTTCCGACTATATGAACCTCGTTCCTAGTTTAAGCTGTGCTCACTAACCTGTTTAACTAAGTTACCGACTATAGTGAGCTCACTGGCACAACTTCCAACTTGATTGTTAGCAACTGCTGATCTGGTGTTAATTGTATGTATCTCTTCAGTATATTTCGCTCATATGTGGAAATGCTAAATCGTTAAATAACTTAAAAACTATGCTATACGTAAATAGACAAGATAATGTAATGGCAACGAACAAAGACATCCGAAAAGTAACCTTGGACGAGCCTGAAACTACAATAATCAGACGAGCTGCACGTTTCTGTAACTTAAATAATTTTGGCATACCTGAACTTGAAGACAACTCTCACACTAAGTAATGATTGAGCAACAAGCTTCAGCAACCATCGGCACCAGTGACTTTATTTGGTTATAAGTTATCCACATGAAGTAAAACAAATTCATTTGAATCACTAGCCATCACTAGTACTAAGTTTATCAGATGCATGGAATTTCCCCATTTCTGTTCAGTGGCGGCAGGGTCTAAGGGGCGCAAGTGGTGGTGAGCAGACCTCGCTACCATGCAAAATTCGTGCCGCCGCCTCTGCTGTTAGACCCTGATTGGAAACGTTGAAAAATAAAATTTATATGTCCATTGTTATGCACGATTTTCCAAAAAGATTGCATTTAGTATGAATAAAGTTGAGATTTATAAATTTGGGCAAGGCTAAAGATGAAGTCTAATTTAAAAAAAAAAATTTGACCTCAAAGGGTAGGTTGGTACCAACCACATTGCCTAAATATCATGGTTATTTGTGTTTGTGGCAGTACCGATAGACCGATGAGCAATAAATGAATGAATAAAATGATTAAATTCTCCAGCTTGTGAAGTGGATTATAAATCTCATCTCCATTCCAACTACATGTACTAGTAATTAAGACGGTCGAATCTTTGCATATATTACATAATCAATATTTCCACGTGTCTTTAGTATTTGTACTTTCAATATTTGACATAAAATAGCCAGTTTAATCTTTCACAATTGAATTCCCAAAACGCTTTTCTCGTTCTGGATTTGTGTTCCGCTGAAATTGACAGTCAACCGTGACTGCTTAGGGCTTTCCGACTCTCGCCAAAGCGCGCCACCAAATGCCAAGATATGAGGGGAAGCCACGCTCTTGCTTCATATTTTTATAAAAGTTTTACAGATATATATTTTTATAAGAGTTTTAGTAAAAGTTGTTTTCACAACGAACTTTTTTACGATGGTCAAACCACGTTTACTAGAACTTTTAGTAACCGTGGTTAAACGCTGTATTGTTAGCGGATGTACCATTACATATAGCGTATAACAGATTTCAGAAGAGAGACCATGTCGGGTGTTTCAAATGATTTGGCTTATTTACGATCCTGAATATTGTTTTGTAGAGACCATTAAGTTCGTATTTTGTAAAAGTTAGCAATAATTTTGTTTGCGAAAACTAACGCGTTGATCAAACGGAAAATTACAGAGCACTTACACATGCTAATCAGATTATTTTCAATTTCGCTGTCTAAAAGTTTCTGAATTGTTTGGTAATTGATGTTGAATGACGATTTCGCATCTCAGTGATTATTTATTGCAATGTTATCTTTATAAGTTAGAGAATAAGAATTCGGGCTTGGGCTATCAATGTTTTGTGACCAAGTAATGTTTTAATGCGATGTCATAATTATGCCATAATTGTCAGTGACAATCAAGAATCTCGAATCGCACTCTGTTTTGTTCGTGTTGCTCTCCTTTTTTGGGTTATCTAATCGAACGTCGCCATTCACGCACTAGTCCTCGTTATGACCCAACGTGTTCATTTCAACAGGACGTCGTTTTATTCGCATGCTGCCATGTTTCAGTAGCAGTGATTTACGAATCACCGACTCGTATCTTTTTCATTATCATTATTTCTCTATTTCATTGATCGCTATAGTTCAATGTTTAGAATGTTAAAATATGTTTTATTATATACTTAGACGATCGATGGAATACATCAGTGCCTTAAATAACGAGAAGACGCGTCAGGAGTCAAACTCGGGCTAGATAAGTTTGGGAAACATTAGCATAGACATAGAGTTCCGTGGCAATACATTTAAGTTTGAAACTCATAATTGTCACTTTAAAAAAATTATTTTGTGCTTAGAAACATAAAAAAAAATAATACTGACGTTCCAATAATTTTGGGCCAGAAAGTAGCAGGCATTTCACAGGCACTTTAACCTGATTTCTCTGATTCGTATAATTGATACCTACACGAAACCTTTAAATAGTCCAGTGCTACAATTACTGACATGATTTCTTTTTACTTTCACTCAAATAAAATTTTCATTCAGAAACTATCTGATGCTAAATTTGTGTAGAAACAAATGCCAAAAATCTAGACAAAAATGTTAATGACATATTAAATGTTAACAAACTATTAATTTACTACTAATAATATTATTGATTTATTTCATATGTTGCACATTTTAATGTTGTTATGTGCAGTTGATCCTAGTATGTTCACTGTGTATTCGCTATGTGATTTCGTGTCAAATAAGATATATTTATATATTTATTTTTTCATTTCCATGTGAGTCTCTAATAAGCTTTCTTACATTCTTCGTTGTGTATTGTGTACACACAATAAATAACCATACCTTTTTCTTTTTCTAATAGCCTGATACCTATATTTTCCATGAATGTGAAGACAGCGTACGATTCGATTCGCCAACGATTCACGTACGATTAATACTCACATTGAAATACCTATAATTCACGCAAATGTTGGTATATAGCAATTTCAGCTAAGTTAACAATATGTTTGTGTGGAAAAATAGAGATCAATTTAATATTTTCTGTAGAAATCATGATTATAAATACTTCCATAGTGTGCGTGACAATTCTTTAGCGCGTCTGCGAATGCACAGAGGGTCAAAGGGCAATGATTTCAAATTATCACCACTCAATTAAAAAAACAAGGTCGTTGGTGATGTTTTTATTTACTAAATATTATTTGTTCACATATGATTCATGTTCTTTTAAACATATTTATGCGTTTCTCGTCTGTTTCTAAAGCTATTTTATACATGTTTGAGCCCACGTGACCTCCTATGATCATAACTATGATTTTCTTCAAAAGAAATAGGTTGATCCCTATTTTTCCTACACAAAATATGCTATATATAAACTTTTGTATAATTATAGGTATTTCAATTTATACGTCAATCATACGCGAATCGAACGCGAATCGAACCGTACGCTGTCATCACACTCGTATACTAGTATTTTCCATGGAAATATAATGTTCGGTAATTATTTTCTCCACCACGCGACAACAATCAAGAGGGGCGAGAAATGAGTACGGGGTTTCACGAACTGAAAATGCGAAGGTCTTATTATTTATGTCCATCCGCAAGATTAGTAAATAGTCCTACTGTTAAGAAGCGTATTCTGCGTAATATTTGTTATTTGTGATATAAACATATATCATATAGAAAAATAATGGGTTTTCTAAATGGCTTCATATAATTTGTTGTTTCATAAGTACTTGATTTTAATTAACTACTGCAGCGGAGTAATATTATGCAAATAAGGGTGTGACAAGCTTCCATATAACCCCACGTGGTTTATTCAGGAGACCTCGCATTCTTCTTATTATTCACCCCTGGTACAGGCTTCAAAATTCGTTCGCTGATTTTCCGTCGATTTCTGGGCACCATGGCAAACCCAAAGGTATTTTTTGATGTCAGTGCCGGGGGAACCCCAATTGGACGCATTACAATGGAGGTGAGTTTCCTAAAATACTGAAATTTATGACTACAAATTTCAATTTTTACTAAAGCAACATTCAGCGCGATGTGAGATCCCCATGACTGCAACGAGTGATAACGAATACATCATAAATAAACTAGTAAAAAAAAGCTGACGCTGAATGTTATTTATTAACGTATTCAAATCGTGATATTTTGCCTGTTGGTGTCTTTCCCGTGGGTACACTAAAATACCAGTCGATCTCTATCCACGCATCCCTCACCCCGCCACGCCTTGTGCAAGTCTACTGCTTTACACGTGCTGACAAACTGGAAATCAGACATTGCATCTATCGTTTTAGTTATGGTCACGTCATAATACAATTTAGGTGCATGGAATTTCCCCATTTCTGTTTGACCCTTGTCGGAAACGTTGAACAATAAAATTGATATTTCCATTGTTATGCACGAATTTCCATAAAGTTAAATTAAAAAGAATAAAGTTGAGATTTATAAATTTGGGCGAAGTCGGATGAATTGACCGCAAAGGTAGGTGGGTAACCGGTGATGAACTCGCGAAATTCGTTTCCTGTTAATATCTGTATAGAGATTAGATCTTTCGCAAATTGTTTTTTAGAAACAGGTGTTTAATTGTATATTGACATTGTTGTATAGGAATGTAATTTGCTTGAATGTAATTAATAAATATTTGAAGCACTGTTGATAAATAAAAATTAAATATAAACTATGCTCCTTACAAAAGATCACCAACAGGCCATTGTTGAGTCATTACTGTACTATTGACACAACAAAGCCACACCCTTTCATTTCCATTTATAAATTGCACAATTTAAAAACTTTAAGGTTCTTGTTTACTTGGGAATAACATCATATTTTTGTTGATGACGTTACATGGTTTAATGGGTAGCTGCATTCTATTTTTTATAAATATTCATACAAATAAAAAATGTTTGTGTATAAAAAATGTATTAGAATGCCATTTTCACTTTAAGATGTTTCACTAAAATTATGAGGGATTCATTGAATTTCTGATAACATTTGATTGCAAGTTAAAAAAAAAATTAACATTACGTTTCTTTATAGCTGAGAGCGGATGTTGTCCCCAAAACTGCTGGTAAGCTCGATTTATTTTTTACTCCTGTGTGCGAAGCACACAATGGGAGTCTTTGCAGTCAGTTTGTTTGTATGTGTATGTGTGTGTCCGTCTGTTCCACTGTTATCTCAAGAACCATACATTAAATTTTGATGAAACTTGGTGCATAGATGCTCTGGGCCAATGCACAGATTTGATTAGGTTTTGGTAAAAATCCATGCATGATAATTAGCTGATTTTTAGCTGTTCCATGACTGTTCCACGACTGTTCCACTGATATTTAAAGAACCACTCATTGAATTTTGATGAAACTTAGCACATAGATGCTCCAAACTAATGTGCAGATTTCATTAGTTTTGGGTAATAATCTGTGCAATATTAATTACCTAAATACCTAATTAGCTTAGTGATTTATCAATTTTCGGCTTTTCCACTGATACCTAGAGTACTAATCATCACATTTCAATAAAACTTGATACATAGATGTCATAGGACACTGCACAGACCTGATAGTTTTCAGGGTAATATCAGTACATAAAAATTACCTAATTTGCATAATTAATTAATTTTAAGAGACCCAATTAGTTTTTGGTAAATTTTTATGCTTAATCACCTAATTAACATTAACACTGATATCTCAATTACTGATCATCACATTTGAATAAAATTTGGTACATAAATGCTCTAGGACAATAGATAGGCCTGATTAATTTTGGGTTAAAATTTGTTCATATTAATTCTCTAATTAGCATAATAATTCATATTTTTTTGTTCTGTTCTGTTCGTATTAGTTGGTTACCTGATTTACATAATTAATTTTCAGCTTTTCCATCAATATCTCATGTACAAGTAATTTTGAATTAATTGTTAATGCGTCTTCAATACTCTCAGCACACAGGAGTTCTTTCTAAGCTTTTTTCGATATTAATTGGGAGGGGGGATTTAGAGTTTACTGTGGGACTCGCATTATCTAAATAGATTGAAATTGTAAAATTTGGTTTTAGTAAAAGGTCAGTCTTTAATGGTTACTTTTCAAATTAGGATTTTCACACAAGATGGTTCCGTTAGCACATATGTAAATAGATGTCTATGGGAGGATTCTCAGTTTTCTTTTCTCATTTGTCTAATTAAACTAAAGCATGTATTAATTATACTTGCATTTTTTAGAAAATTTTCGTGCTTTGTGCACTGGTGAAAAAGGAAAAAATACCTACAAGGGAAGTACCTTCCATCGTGTAATTCCCCAGTTTATGTGTCAGGGTGGAGACTTCACAAGAGGTGATGGAACTGGTGGAGTTAGCATCTACGGTGCCAAGTTTGAAGATGAGAACTTTAAGCTTCAGCATACTGGACCAGGTCAGTGCTTTCAGTTAATTACAAAGAGTGTACTTGTAAGTTGTATGACTGCCCATAATTAAATTTCTGGGATGTCAAATTTGCATACAATGCAAAACTAAAGAAAATGTAAGGGAACTTTAAAAGACCAAATTTTAATCAACTTTGAATTAACTGCCAAGCTATTTGGTAATTCTAGAAAAACAACTTTTGTAATAGTTAACATTCTTTTTCTAAAAAATACTGTAGATCAATCAAAATTGTGTAGTTGTGAAAGTGATAGATTGAATCCCTTCCTCCAGACCTAATCGGCATCCTATGCAGGTTTTAATTCAACATATTTCACTGCAAAATAAGCATAAATAAGACAATAGCCCACTTTCAAGATAAACTGCCGCTGGCAGCGCCATCCTATCGCGTAACCATAAATTTTCCCCACGGTGGGGCCATATTGAAGTTGGTCAAGCCTGTGTGTATTTACGTTACGACCTCGTCAATATGTCCAATGCTAAACGTATAATTTTAATCGGAGAACAGAACAAGACAATGCAACATGCACTGGCACCACTTCGTAAGTTCAAAATGTCACCCCAGTTTGTGACAGTAAATATTGATCAGAAAATCGCCGAAAACAGAATTTTTGGTCAAGTGATAGGGTGATGTCGCCAGCGGCTGTTTATCTCAAAAGTGGGCTATTGAAGCTTTATGGAATAAGTAAATTGTGATTTGGTAAAGTTGTTTGTACAAGAGACCTCTGAAACTGTTGTACCCCTACCCTACAGCACTCCCCACTTAATTGTACATGCCCCTCCAAAGTACATCTATAGTTGTCTAGAGGGGGCATATAGAAATGAATTGGGTAACTGGGAGAAAGTGTTAGGGATGGGGGTACAAAAGGAACTTTTTCCACAATTTTTGTTAAAGTTTGATTTTAATAACTGTTTCATCTTTCAGGTATTTTGTCTATGGCAAACTGTGGACCAAACACTAATGGATCACAGTTCTTTCTGTGCACAGCTAAGACAGAGTGGTAAGTGCAGCGGTTTTAAATATAACGAGAATAGAAGAATCGGTTGTACTATGTATGAACTGCTTGAATCATAAATGTGTGGAACGAGAAACTCCTGTTTACACCAACTTTAAAAAAAACAAACACAAGTTTTACTACAAAGTTTTAAGATTAATGTCCTAGTTTTTCCTTCGTGTGATTCCTACTTTGTTGCATGCATGCATGAATTAGTATCTTCACAATTTGACAAATAATGTAAATATTTTTGAGCACTTTGGATTTAGTTTCAACTAAGTTCCGACGAGATGCACTCAATTTTTCAGTTTTAAAATGCATTATTTTTTTAGATTACGACACTTTGTGCAACTGTTGCTGCTCAAAGGAGCTCCTACTGTAAATGTATATACAACTATTCCAATTATTTATAATTTATAGGTTGAATGGCAAGCATGTGGTCTTCGGTCAAGTTACTGAGGGGATGGACGTTGTGAAGAAGATAGAATCCTATGGTTCATCTAGTGGAAAGACGAGCAAGACCATAAAAATAGACAACTGTGGTCAGTTATAACGAGTACATTCGGCAATCTTGTATTTCCAATAATCTTTAAAACTTTCAATGGTAAACTGCTTTGTGATAGTCAAGAATACACTATAGGCATCTTTGGGACCAATGTTAAACTGGTGATTGTTTCCATCTATCCTTGTGGACAAATAAACCTGCCACTCATCAGTATGTACACCAGCCTAGTGCAGTGTATTCTTGCCTTCAATCGTAGAATAAAAAATAATTTCTGTAATGTTAGTCGCACTCTTCCAACAGACTTGATGTAGTTATAAATGTCTTGGTATTTGTTCTGTCAAAGCATTATGCCTTACCTGACCACAGAATAATTTAATTTACATTGATGAGTGGAGTCAGTTTTGAAATCGTTTTAGACTTCCTACTTTCCACATCAAAACTTTCCGTTTACCATTGTGGCTTAGAATAGTACAATCATGAAAAAGTTAAGTTTGTAGATTTATATAGAAGAAACATTCTTGATTCTTTTTGTTTTTTTTATATATTAAAGAATTCTGCAGTTTAGATCCTTGTAACCTCTTGGCGGATAAAACATGTGAAAGACAAGACACAAGTTGTGGTGTTGGATAAATGTGGTGTGATTTTGAGATGCTACCATTGTTGACATCGCTAGGTATCCCCCTTTAACCAACCTTTCATGTCATTGTCAACAAACCTAGTTTCCTTGGTTTCCCCTGGCCTATCATTGTTAACAAACCTAGTTTTCTTGGTTTCCCCTGGCCTATCATTGTTAACATCGCTAGGTATCCCCCTTTATCCAACCTTTCATGTCATTGTCAACAAACCTAGTTTCCTTGGTTTCCCCTGGCCTATCATTGTTAACAAACCTAGTTTCCTTGGTTTCCCCCTGGCCTATCATTGTTAACATCGCTAGGTATCCCCCTTTATCCAACCTTTCATGTCATTGTCAACAAACCTAGTTGCCTTGGTTTCCCCTGGCCTATCATTGTTAACAAACCTAGTTTCCTTGGTTTCCCCCTGGCCTATCATTGTTAACATCGCTAGGTATCCCCCTTTATCCAACCTTTCATGTCATTGTCAACAAACCTAGTTTCCTTGGTTTCCCCTGGCCTATCATTGTTAACAAACCTAGTTTCCTTGGTTTCCCCCTGGCCTATCATTGTTAACATCGCTAGGTATCCCCCTTTATCCAACCTTTCATGTCATTGTCAACAAACCTAGTTTCCTTGGTTTCCCCTGGCCTATCATTGTTAACAAACCTAGTTTCCTTGGTTACCCCTGGCCTATCATTGTTAACCAAATTAGGTCCCCCAATCTGCTCTGGTCATCAGTTCCAAACTTCATTGCAACCATAGACCCTCTAAAGAGAGATGGGAAACTACCATATTTCATCTGATCTATGAAAGTTGTAATCATTTTAATCCAGTTTATCTAATGGTTCACACATTAGTGATAATCTCAATGAAGTCTTGAAAGTTGCGTTAAGTTATGCAAAACATTGTGAGATTATGTAAATTACCAAATGTCTTCTTCACCTAAACGAAATGGAGCCAGTGTATTTAGCGACGAGTTCATAGATGATTTTGATGGCAATTGTAGTGATTTTAGTGAAGAAAACCATGTTGAAAATGAGCCAGTTGGTCGGCGAAATTTAAGTTTAGTTTCGGTAACGTGTAAATTAAAACAAGTATCACTGGACACGAACTTACTTGGGCAAGTCTTGTGGTGGATGAGATAGGGATGTGTAGAAATATAGACTTCCATGGGATAAAGTCGGAGTTCCGTGAGATTCACTTTATTGCAACACGTCAGACTACATTGAAGTCAAAACCAAAACTA